AGTAGCTGCATCGTTTTACATTGTCACCACACACTTGTGAGAGTTTCGGTTTCTCTACGTTCTTACCAACACTTGTTATTATCCATCTTTTTTTTGTCCAGCTTTACTGAGATATAATTGACATATAGCACCGTGTAAGTGTAAGGGGTACATTGTGATGGTCGATGTATGGATATATAGCAAAATGTTTACAAGAAGACTAACCCGTCCTTTTCCTCACATAATTACCAGTCTGTGGTGGTGGAGTGAACACTGAAGCTTCACGCCCGGAGCAGCCCTCAAGTGTGCAGCACAGTAGTGTTAACCACAGACCGTGCTGCACGTCAGGTCCCCAGGACTTGGGACTGGAAGTCTGTACTGTTGACCAGCATCCCTGTGTCTCCCACCCCTCAGCCCCTGGCCCACACCGTGGTGCTTCCCCCCTCTCTCACCCTCCTACTTTTTTAATCTCACGATTGCCACAGAATGGTGCGTTGATAGCATAAGCATCACACCAAGGAACATTTCATAAATGCGAATTCTGGGGCCCCAGACCTGCTGAAACAGAAATGCTGGGAGGGACCCAGCTCCCTTCACTTTAACAAGTACTTTGGCTGAGTTTACTGCCCACTAAAATTTAAAAACCACCAATTTAGCCTAAACTGACCATTTTAAACAATGCCCATCTTTCCCTATAATATTGCACATCTTTTCCTATAACCTTTCCTGATACAAAAACACGTCTCCAAATACCTCTCACATGTCTTAACAATAGCTGGCACTATAAAAATACAATCATAGGGACACAACACAGATATTTTGTAGCATTCTTATGGTCATTAGGGGCTCACTGCCTCACATAACAGTTTTTTGTTTACTGGTCTCACTAATCATTTCATGTGGGAAGTCTTATCTCCCCAATTAGATTTTAAACTGTTTGAGGACAATGATAATGTTTTCTTTCTTTGGTAGGCCTTTTAAGTGAATACAGAGCTGGCCAACCAGACTGTAGGTCTGCAACCAATACAGAAAACATTTACTGAGTCTCTGCTGTATGTTAGGGATTGTGGTGGCTGCAGAATGATACCAAGGTGAATACAACACAGTCCTTGTCTTACAGGCCTTTCACTACAATGGGAACTGTGAGACACATAAACATAATGTAAGTATAATGTAGCAACATAAAATAGTGCAAAGTAGAACTTTAAGTAGCACCCTGCAAGGGAGAAATGGTATATTTTTATAAGGACAGAGGGGATAGTTTCTGAGAAAGGCAATTTCACAAAATTATAGTATTTTCCCAGGTCCCGAGATAGGTGTCTTTGCATAAAAGTTGGAGTGGGGAGTCATACAGGCATTCACAGGTGTAGGGGTACTTCCAGAAAAGGCTCCGATGTGTGAACGTAATGGCTTAAGTATCAACCTGAAATAGGAGTTCGTTTTAAGGCTCAGACCATAAAGTGACAAAATGCATTTTCAAGAAGGCCTGTGGTATGATTCCCCAGTGACTTCCAAATCTTGATGCACATTACAATCAGCTGGAAACCTTGTTTGAGAACACACAGATTCCTAGTATTCACGCCGGGTGGTCTAAATCAAATCTCTGGGGTGGTGCTCAATAATCGGCACTTTCAGCAAAGCTGCTCTGGTGTATTTCTTGTCACATTCAGGATAGAAAGACAGAGGTGAGTCATCAGGTTAGAGAGTTAGGGGTTACCGAAATGCTCTAGGTCAGGGGTGTCTCGCCTGTGGCCTGTGGGCCGCGTGCAGCTCAGGATGGCTATGAATACAGCCCAACACAAAACCGTAAGTTTGCTGAAAACATTACTTAGTTTATTACTAAGTTTGATTACTTAGATATGTACATTTGCTATATTAGTGATCACACACTTGTGACCTGCTCAACTATTTTAAAAGATTATCGAAAGGGCTGCTACATAATTAGGGTTATTATCTGAGGACTTTTTGCTTCTCCGTGGTGGCTGGTATCATGAAAATTATGCATGGATTTTTTTTTCTTTTTTGCTCATCAGTTTTTGCTAGTGTCTGTGTATTTAATGTGTGGCCCAAGACAACGCTTTGTCCGGTGTGGCCCAGAGAAGCCAACAGGTCAGACACCCTGCCCTAGCAGGTGGAGGAAGATGGCCTGCCAAGAGCCATGGGGACAGAAAAATGGGAAGATAAAATCAATTGTGAGGATGTAATTGGTCGGATGTGGAGAATGAGTGTTGATTGAAATGAATCATTGACAGTCTTTAAAAACAAGGTTGATGTTTTAACGATTCAAACACACCTGGGACTTTCCTTTCTCTGCACTCCCCATACTTGGGAGCAGCTGTGTCTGGGAGAGGGAAAGAGGCTACAAAATATTTTTGCTCCAGTGCCACACAGGAACGCAGACAGCAGATGGCGCTTCCATGCTCAGCTCTAATTTTCAACTTTTGAAGTGAATAACCTAGGAATGACTGGAGCTAAAATAGAAACAACCCTTTATTGTGCTCAAGTAGATAAGTTCAGTTTCTGACGAGGGGGTTCTGTGAAAGGAGGGATAACTAAAGGGTCAGTTTGTCCTATTTAGTACTTGGCTTTCAATGATACCATGTAGATTTTCAAATATTGTGAATTATTGTGGCTCCCATCCATGTTTGGGGAGGTCCCAAATATTTACTGCAGCAAGTAAAATAACATGAACTCAAGAAGGCTTGAGGTTAGGAAAAAAATCCCAGACTTTGGCCAGATACCCAAATGTCCATCTGAGCTTCTGTTGTTTGCAAAGGTAAGGAATAACGAAAGGAGTAACATCAGATATGGAAAAGAACCATAGGAAGGGCAGTTTGGAGTAATAAATGAAAACAGTGGAATGGAAACAAAGCAAGGGCCACTTTTATTTTTTGTAAAATTTACAGTTACACTAGGATACAGTATTTTACATCTTTAAAATCTGCTTGCAATCATGCAAAAGGCATCATGACTCAGTGATAGAGTCAGTGGAGTCTCGAGTCACCCACTAAAATCTAAAGCTCTGCCATTTGCTGGCTGTGCACTCGACAAAGTAACTTAATGTCTCTGCGTATCAATTTCCTCACCTGTAAAATGGAAATGGCAACAACAGTATCTCTTTAATAAGATTCTTATGAAGATTAAATGTCAGAATTTGTAAGGTACTTAGAAGAGTACCTGGCATGTAGTGAGCATAAGATAAGTAGATGATAAATTTTTTTTAAAATTTTACTTATTTATCTTTAGAGGGGAAGGGAAGGAGAGAGGGAGAGAAACATCAATGTATGGTTGCCTTTTGTGCGTCCTCTGCTGGGAATTGGCCTGCAGGGAACCAGCCTGCAACCTGGGTATGTGCCCTGACTGGGAATCGAACCGCGATTGTCTGGTGTGCAGGTCCGCGCTCAATCCACTGAGCTACACCAGCCAGGGCAGCAGATAATAAATTTTTAAAAAGTCAACTTTTAGGTGATGGGACAATATGTGATTTTTTCCCTATTAATTAAAAACCTATGTTTTTTGATGATTGGAAGTATCAATTTTTTTGTACATAGAAAAATTTGTACATAATATTTTGTTTTCTTTTGAGTTACATCTCCAACTGTTTTTTTTTTCTCCTACTCTATTGTGCCCAACATTAGACATATCTTGGCTGTGAGACACTCAGAGGTCTTGATTATTCCTCATTTTCTAGAATTATTTTTATTGTCATCAAAATATGTAACAAAATTTACCATTTGAACTCTTTTTAAGTGTACAGTTCACTGCCATTAAGTACATTCACGATATTTTGCAATCACCACCATTATCTATTTCCAGAACTTTATCATCTCAAGCAGAAACCTAGATTGTCGAGTTCTTAAGGGCAGAGAAAATATCTCAGTCACCTTTGTATCCCTCAGAGCCAGAGGGTAAATATTCAACAAACATATACTACAGTTAAACTAATACTGCAATCTAAAGCTATTTCCTATCTGCCTAATCACTAACAACAGAGTTCTCTAAAACTAAATTCTATCACTAGACAACAGTTATAGAAACTAATTAAGTAGTACACCTTTCATTTTTGCACAGAACATGTATTTTTCCAGCTGTGATCTATTATGCCATCTTACGCAGGCAAGAATTCTTATTCTATACATAATTTTCAACTGAGCCCTTCATGTTTTGAGGCAGGATACAAAAGGATATGGACTTGGAAGAGCTGTCTCTGTGTGATCTTCAACAATTTTACATAAGATACCTAATAATCAAGTTTATAATTTGTAAACATTGGTTACATTTTATAACGCTATCACCTTTATAGTGTTGCTGAACTCAAGTGATATTATGTGTAAGAAAGACTGCTATAGATGGCTGTAGTTACTATGTGACTTAGTAGTTCAGCTAAAACAAATAAAATATTTATTTCTACACCTTCCTAAAGATTTTGGATATGCTGCTGCATAAATTGGCTGTTCTGAAACATACAAAGAATAGAAACAGAATAGAAACAGAAACACATTAAGTGGAAGCCCAACGTTCATTCATTCATTCCATTTACCCATTATCTATATTTATATCCTCCGAGTGTGAAAAATAGTACTTAAATAAATTCAAATCTGTTATCCAGAGGCTTGGTTCCTCTACGTACATTAATATTTAGCAAGCTTCCCCCCCTCAGAGCAAATCTGCTTTCCCCGACTCAATAAGCTCTCCCTCACCCACTTGAAATTCCCAGGCGCTGTCTCTTTAACGAGTAATGGAGCTCTGATTGCATCGACCACAGACTCGCTACCCTTGCCATCCCCAGCGGTCTCAGTCCTGCCCCGGCGACTGCTCTCCTTCAGGGCATCAAGCCTAGAGGAGCTCGAGTGTTAATAAACTGCGGCCTCAGTAGGTGGTCGCACCAGACACAGAAGCGCCCCCACAGACCGGCTGGAGGACGCAGGCTCTCCCCAGTACCGGAGGCGCCTCGGGGCTCCGCTGGCCATGCCTGGAGCGCTGGTTTTGACTGGGCCGCCGTTGTTGTAGTGACCGGGAGGCGCCACGGCCGTGCGCAGACGGTTCCGGGCGCCACACGGTCCCCCACCCCACCCCATCCCCTTCCTTTCCCCGGTTTTCCCCAGCAGCAGGAACCGGGCTCTCACCGCTCCCCCCATGGCCTCCGCCCCGGTAAGGACTGGCTAGGGAGCTACTCCCCAGAGCCGGTGCCTCGGGCTGCGGGCCCAGGTCTGGGCCACGCCCACACCTGGCGGGAAGCGGAGGCAGGTGTGCACTGCCACGTCCAGAACCCCTGGCTCCGTGCCCCTCGCCCGGGGCCCCGGGGTCCCGTGTCTCACTGGTGTCGGGGGTGCCCTGGGCCCCGGGCTCCCGGACTTCCGCGTCTCACTGGGGTCCCGGGGGTAGCCATCCCTGGCCCGGCTCCCGGGCGCTGCTCCCCAAGGCCCTACAGTCACACGGCCCCCAGAATTCTTGGAGGATTCCCGTAGAGCGTCTGCGTCAAAATCACCTGGCGGGGTTTTAAAAAGTGCCAGAGCCAGGGCCCGCTGACTGCGAGCCGACGGGCGGGGCCTAGGAACCTGCATTTCAAAGAGCCCCCCCCCCCCGTGGTTTCTCCAGGGCGCTGGATTCTGGGAAGCGCGAACCGAGGATTTGGCAGGCTGTGCGGGGGACGCGGGCGCCCCGCGCCTCCCTGTGGGGCTGCCCGCGTGCGCTCCGTGCGGGGCGTCCTGCCAGCGGACCCGCCGCATCTGTGGTGGTTCCCAGGCTGCGCCCCGTGGGAAGGGACAGAGTGCGTCCCCGACCCCCCGAATTCCAAGTCTGCACCTGCTTTCAAAACCTGGTAATTTTCCTTCCCAGGAGGATCCTGTTCTGGAGCGTTACTTTAAGGGCCATAAAGCTGCAATAACCTCCGTGGATTTTAGTCCCAATGGCAAACAACTTGGTAAGTTTTGTTCTTTTTTTCTTTTTGTGATGGGGCAAATGCTCAGCTGGTCGGTAACTTTGCCTTTGTCCACGCTGGACCCCTGGGAGAAGCACTGAGGATCTGTACGTGGGGCACCGGGGGACTCTCGGAGCCCCCGCGGCCGGAGCCTGGAGTCCCTGTCAGCACAGTTCCCTGCCCAACTACCCGCACTGTCGCCTGCAGGCTGGGGCCTGGCTGGAGAGTTTCTCGAACTAACCACCAGGAGGAGCGAGTGGGAAGGGGAGGGCTTTGTCTTCGGGAGGGTGGGGTGTCGGTGAGAGAGTTTGTGAAAAGTTGAGAGACGTGCAGGAGGAAGTAGGGCGAGAGGAGCTGGGGCTGCGCCGGAGGCGGATGGCTGAGAGGTCTAAGGTGACCCCTGGGAAACCTCTGTGGCGGGAAAGGAGCCGAGGGCCTGCAGGAAAGGAGGGACGGGCTGGGAAGTTCGCTCCTACCTGAGTCGGGTGCTCAAGTGTCGGATCCCACAGTTCTTCCCCCGCGTGGTGACTCCGGTGGCCGCGTCTGCGCCCTAGCCGTGAGGATCCGAATGGCCGTGAGGTGGACCTGGGCAGGCAAAACCTGCCTGCTGCTGGCGCTTTTAACTGTGGCCTATGTCCTGGTGGAACTCTCGGTCTCCACTCTCCATGCCTCCTCGGGAACTGGCCTTGCCTGGGAGCGGGGACCAGGGCAGCTCCCAGACCCCGATAAAAAGGCAGAGGATTTGTCCCGACCGCTGTATGAGAAGCCCCCCGCGGATTCCCACGCACTTGGGGAGTGGGGGAAAGCCAGCAGACTCCAGCTCAACGAGGCTGAACTGAAGCAGCAAGAAGAACTCATTGAGAGATATGCCATTAATATTTACCTCAGTGACAAAATTTCCTTGCACCGCCACATAGAGGATAAAAGAATGTACGAGTGTAAATCCAAGACGTTTAACTATAGGCGACTTCCCACCACCTCTGTTATCATTGCTTTCTATAACGAAGCGTGGTCGACTTTGCTCCGCACCATCCACAGTGTTTTAGAAACTTCTCCTGCAGTCCTTCTGAAGGAGATCATCTTAGTTGATGACTTGAGTGACAGAGTTTATTTGAAGACACAACTTGAAACTTATGTCAGCAATCTGGATAGAGTCCGCTTGATTAGAACAAATAAGCGGGAGGGGCTGGTTAGGGCCCGCCTGATCGGGGCCACGTTTGCTACTGGGGATGTTCTCACTTTCCTGGATTGTCACTGTGAGTGTAATTCTGGTTGGCTGGAGCCACTTTTGGAAAGGATCGGTGAGGATGAAACAGTAATTATTTGTCCTGTTATAGATACCATTGATTGGAATACTTTTGAATTTTACATGCAGACCGGGGAGCCCATGATTGGCGGATTTGACTGGCGTTTAACGTTCCAGTGGCACTCTGTTCCCAAGCATGAAAGGGACAGGCGGAAATCGAGAATTGACCCAATCAGATCACCCACCATGGCTGGAGGACTGTTTGCTGTCAGCAAGAAGTATTTTGAGTACCTTGGAACATATGACACTGGAATGGAAGTGTGGGGAGGTGAAAACCTGGAACTGTCTTTCAGGGTGTGGCAGTGTGGAGGTAAACTGGAGATCCACCCGTGTTCCCACGTGGGCCACGTATTCCCTAAGCGGGCTCCTTATGCTCGGCCCAACTTCCTGCAGAACACGGCTCGGGCAGCGGAAGTGTGGATGGATGAGTACAAAGAGCATTTCTACAATCGAAACCCTCCAGCAAGGAAAGAAGCTTATGGTGATATTTCTGAAAGAAAGTTACTACGAGAACGGCTGAAGTGCAAGAGCTTTGACTGGTATTTGAAAAATGTGTTTTCGAATTTACATGTTCCAGAGGATAGGCCAGGCTGGCATGGAGCTATTCGCAGTATGGGCATCTCTTCTGAATGTTTAGATTATAATTCTCCTGACAACAACCCCACAGGTGCTAACCTTTCACTATTTGGATGCCATGGTCAAGGAGGCAATCAGTTCTTTGAATATACTTCAAACAAAGAAATCAGGTTTAATTCTGTGACAGAGTTATGTGCGGAGGTTCCTGAGCAAAAAAATCACGTAGGTATGCAGAATTGTCCAAAAGATGGGTTCCCTGTGCCAACAAACATCATTTGGCATTTTAAAGAAGATGGAACCATTTTTCATCCATTCTCAGGACTGTGTCTTAGTGCTTATAGGACACCTGAGGGCCGAGCTGATGTTCAGATGAGAACTTGTGATGCTGTAGATAAAAATCAAATCTGGAAGTTTGAGAACTAAAAGAGCACAACAGCACTTTGGTCCCGAGCTGACGATATATTCAGGAAAGTCAAAGAGCCTCAGTGAAGATTGTGTTTTATCAGACATCACCCAGCGTTCACCTGCGAGAGCTCTGCGTGATCTGTCATTGATTTTGGTATAGAACACTGAAACCAATGCACAGAGAGCTGCCGTGGAGTAGTTGAAAGTGCCTTACTTGTGGGTCGTTTTATTTCAGAGCTCTGTCAATACAGTTTCTTCTTAAAGAAGTTGACTGTGAATTGAGATACACATAAAATATTTAAGTGCCAGACTTGATACTAAAGAATGTAAAAGTCCAAGTAAAATAAAATAATTCATGTTGGTGGGTAAGTTCACTGCACATCTCATTGTTTAACAGAACTCATAAATGTGCAGTTTGAGCTGTAACTCTCTTGATTGTACATAGAATTTGAATTTCTTTAGCCAGCATATTAAATTTTAGGTTTTGTTTATTTTTCTATTCTAATTTTTTAAAAAAATCAAATGGAAATCAAAGTTTATTGTAAGGAGAAAGGCCTGGCTTAGATATGTGTCTAATTAGAAGAGGGCATCAGTTTGAATGTGAATTTGGAGGTCTTTTTAACATTTAGACATCTTAAAAAAATATACTCACATCTGAATGACATGGGGTGGTCTTTGCATTCCACACTTTGTAAACTTGAACTGTTGGACTTAATGATCTATACTGATACCTCTAATCACTTTTATTTTGTAGCCTGTCCTGTCTGTGAAGCTTTCTGTGTGTTAGAGCATTTTCTCATTGCACTTCCTTAAGTTATGAATGTATTAGAAAAGGATTCATTCAGGAGACTGTATTTCCTTCCCTTTGTTAATGCTTAATTACTTAAAGTAAATACAATTGAGGCCTCTCTGAAGTTAAACCAACTGTGTTTATTGAAATGTGTGAAACTGAAAGTGGGTCTGGTTTTGCAAAAGCCAAGGAACTCTTCTGTGAGTTCTTGGTGATTAGGGCATTTCAGGATTTATTTTAAGAAGACAAGGAAAAAGGCTCGTCTCTGCATTGGTGAGTGCTGCCTTCCAGCCTCTTTTCAGCACCCACCGCTGAGCCTAGCACTTAGGCAGCTTTCAGGAAGTAGGAAAAGGACCAAATGAATGAATGGCTCAGCCCAGGAATGTGACTTTGGTCAACTCCTTTGACCAAATGACTCAGTTTGGGCCTCAGTTCCCTCATCTGTAGCATGTGGGTGCCCAATTAGCTCTTGCAGTTCCCCTCCAGTTCTGAAATGTTATGCTTATACATTACACCCATCTCAAATTCAGTTACTGTGCAATCTTTACAACACTTTTTATCTCTTCACTCTTAACATAGGTAATGTTGTTGAGCAACATTCGGTCGAGTTATGAAGCTGGAAAAGAGAAATGGTTTTAATACTTAAGTGAGCTGAGCTCACCCTGCAGTGGTTTATTTTTAATTGAGTGTAAAGTTGTCGTGGTCAGTGTTTGTATTAATTTCATTTGGCAGTTGTTGAACCAGTTTTTATTTTTATCTTTAATCTTTCAAAGTGTAAGTAATCTTTTGGGCTAAGGATATAAATATTTCCCAAAGTAAATAATTTGAAAAGTAAACATACTTAAACAAAACTATTATTACTGGTTATATTCCAATGTTATAGCCAGAAATTACAGGTTAAATTTAGAATTAAATCTCAATTACTTCACTTTGGTCTAAGTTTATGAAAAACACATGCTCCACCAAGAATTAGTTCACAGTACTCATGAAAAGTTGTTTTCAGTGTCTTCTTAATGACCCTAGTAAGCAGCAACTTTGGGATGGCCATTTCGAAACGTAAAATTGCTCGGTATCTTGAGTAGTTTGTTTCTTTTTTGCTTCTTAAACTGAAAATGTGTTATTAAGTTTCTGTAAGTTATCTGGCAGCCTTTCAGTTTATCAAAGAATTGTCCAGATTCCATGTGCAAGGTGCATGGGCCTGGCTGTAATTTAAGGAGGGTTTAGAACAGTGTCTGCATTTTAAAAAAGGGAGGACTCACCACAGATACTTACCTAGAGCCACCCTCTCCCCTTGCTCAGTCTGCCTTTTTTAAATTATTAAATGAGCTCTTTTTTAATTTATTTTTTCTGTTGTTCTGCTTAGCTCCCCATCACATGGGAGAACTAAAGGTGACATATTCTTAAAGTACTTACTGGAATTATTTTTATTCTGGTACCTTGTTATTCATGTCAAGAGGGAAAGGGAGCATTGAAAAGTGAAGTAGCACTTAATCTAGTAAGTATTTACTTTTGTTCTGAATTTCAGGGTGTGACCCGTTAATCTTTTTGGAAGAAATTTAAGGCTAGTGCTTTATTTATATCAATACTTGGAACAATTAGGCTGTTCCTTCCTCACAATACTGTAGGTAAGAGATGAGTTAGACTTTAATATTTTCATTCATAGGCATTTCCAACTTAATTCTGAAAACCCACTATAAAACTGCAAACTAAATATATTTAGAAGCCTTACTTCTAATTTATTGGTACCAAAGCTCTCTTTTGTGGTGGACAATTAAGAGTTAACCTTTTAAGTTAATTTACATGATCAGTAACAGTTTTATTAAAATATTTGGTAAAAAAGACATTTCAACCTAAAATCGTCAGTCACTGTATTATCTAGTGTTCAAGGCTATGAATAGTTTGAATAGATAAGTAGGCATTTTTAAA